AGAGAGAGAGAGAGAGAGAGAGAAAGAGAGAGAGACTTTCTACCCTTTAGAAGGAAATGGGTATTATGGAAAATTTACCATGCTAGGTTCTTGCCTCATCACAGGGAAGGGGTTGAGGGTGGGGCTGCATACAACTCTCATTCTGCCCCCCTGCTAGGGTTAGTTTTCATCAGTATAGAATAGATTCCTTTGTGATATAAAGTCAGGTGATGTTGTTGGATATTTTATCCCAGCAATAGGAAGTGCCAGATATATCTAATTATGTTAAATTTGATAAGAGTTTAAATAAGAGGTCTCAAACAAATAAACTATGTCCTATACATTGGGCTTCAATGTCATGATGGTGAATTCCAAAATTAAAATCACTTCCTCGCAATTCCAAAGTCATTTAGGGATGTCTAAAAATCACATAAGAATTTTTTTAGAGTTTAATGTAAATAAATTTTACACTTATTTACAAGATTGGCTATGATGAAAATCAGTGTTAAGTCCCTGCCAGGCACGTGTAAACTTCTGACTTAGATCTAGAGTCATGTGATAAATGAATAAACTGTTGAATACATTACCTTCTATTGCTTATAGTGCTAAAAGTTGGATATATTGATAGGAATTTAACAGGAGGTGAAACAATTCCATAAAGGACAACTTGTAGAGCAATTGCCTGTTAAACCCACATGTTTGATCACTTTGAAGTAGGGAATTCACATACACATTCAATTTTTTAAAACTGGGAATCAAACTGACAAACCTCACATTGCCAAGCAGGCATTATGCTGCTGAGCTGTATACCTGACCTTGTAAAAGCAATTTTTCTCTGAGTACAGAGAGAAAAGCACCATCATTCATGTAATTGCTATAATTCATTGAAAATTAATGAACATTGTTCAAAAAGGACATGCTGAATGAGGTAGGACTTTATGCTTTTCATCACTGTTTCGTATGTGGTTTTTACGTTGTTGAAGTTATGTCAATGTGAACTGCATAGGATGTAATACTCATAATTTCCAACCCAACTGTTTATACCTGACAAATATTTACATGGCACATATCTGTATTTCAGTCTCAGGATATTTTCTTGTAGATTCTTTTTTTTTTTTTTTTTTTTTTTGTATAAGGGATCAAACTCACGACCCTGCACTTGCAAGGTAGGCGATGATGCCACTGAACTAAATTCCCAGCCCCTCTTATAGATTATTTTAACTTTTTGTTGGAACTTTTTTTCAACATACACACTGATGGTATTTGAAAGTGAACACATCTGCATGCATTCTACCTTATTCTGATAATTTTAATTTGTTTCTTGTATTTTGCCTGTGTCCATTGATATCACTGTAGGATTTCTGTCCTCTAGATTTTAATGTATTGATTACATTAATTACAATAATGCTCTAATCTTTTTGTACCAGGGATCAAACTCACAGCCTCATTTGCCAGGCAGTTGCTTACACCACTGAACTTGATCCCAGGCTCTGCCTATAATACTTTCAAGAGTTTCTTCTCTACTGTTGTTTAGAATCTGCACAAATATAGAGCAATGAAATATCCTATATTCTGTGGAGTGATTAGCATATTTATATTGCAGTAGCTTTCTCTAGTTCTCTCTGGGAACTCGGCTTCCAGAGGCTCAGGGACAGACCTGTTATGGGCACTGCTTGCCCTAGTCTCAGGCTTCCTAGAGACTGAGATTCAGGAAGATACGATGCACTCAGCTCACAACCCCACTGATGAGCTTCCCTCTGCCCTGTGTTCTCTAATATTCTGAAATTGAAGTCTTTGTTTTTTTTCCAGTACTTACATTCATTGTTTTTATTATATTCTGAGGCATCAATTTTGAGTAACTGAAATAATGCAAAATGTACATTCATTGTCATGGATTGTGAAAACCTTATTAATTATTTAAGCTATTATTTTGAACATGTGTCATCTAAAAATTTGTGACTTGGTCTCTCATTCTAATAGTATTCATAATATGTTCTGTTTTTCCTTTCTAATTTCATTCAGGAATTGTGCCAAAGCCTGCTTTGCATGACTTCCACTCCTCTGATTATGTTACATTCTGCATTGCTACTCTGAACCTGGGCTACATGTGTGAATACTTCTTGGCTTGTTAAGAGTACAGTGTGCTATGGCTTTCTGTGATAAAGCATCACATAGAACCTATTTGATAAATTGCTTTGAACTGTGATCTTGTTGATTTTACCTGTGGCTTTAAAGGTTTCTCTGCCTTCTTAAGCTGTCAATTACTGATGGAGTTGTTTTGAATTCTCAATTATATACTTGTAAATGACTGACTTTTCTCTTCCAATCCTATTTCTGTTTATGTAGTTTGTTGCTCTGGGTAGTGGGATATGTATTTAGTGAATGATACTTGTTTTTAAAGAACTGCTGATTGTATCCTCATGGGATGATTGTAAATCTTATTTACTATGAAGTGCATATTGAATATAGTCAACCTAATGTAGCTTCAGTAGATTTTGTTGAATCAGTGCCAACCAGGTATTTCTTTGTGTAGCATTCTATTTAATATATCCTCATCCGTGTCCACATAATAACCACTGTTCTCCAGGTGGTCAGAGTATTTGCTCATTACCCAGGGCTCTAGCTATTGATCAGTTCTGATACCTGTTGTCTCAGTCCCTTTTAATCTAACCTCTTCTTCTGATAATGTTACCTGCTCTCCTGATAGTGTGATCAGTTCTCCTGTTGGTGAACTTAGCATTACACCACCGCTAGCTGTGGATTTGTTGCACTGATATTTGCAGCTTACTTTGCTTATTGCTACCTAATATGGAAACTGTCTCATCATTTTATGTCTGAAAGCAGATAAACAGATATTAATCAATAAGACCTGTATTGTAATTTACTGTTTAAATCATTTAAAGCACATTTTATTCTCAAAACTTTTGTTAAGATTCAATGATAACAATGAAAGTTTCCCAGGTGTATTCAGAAAGTTTCACCATTGGGTCTTAGGCAAGGAATGAAAATATTTCTTTATGTCAGAAGTTATTATTGTATTATTGATGACAACTCTCCTTCTTTGGAAATTTTCCAAAGTTTGCAGTGTGTGCTTTTTCATGGAGACGGTTCTTTTTGCTTCTTCCCTTTAAGTTTTCAGGAAGTACCATACAAATTGCACAGAGAAATATTTTGTGAGACCCTGTATTTCTTGATTTAGTCACTTCTCACCGTTGTTTACAAGTCCTGGTATGTGAATCAAGGCCTTAGTTTCTTGATCACAGTTTCTGACTTGAATTCACTTGAAAAGAATCACGTGTGTTCCTAGCAATCCCAGCATAAAGTTTCTTTACATTAGGAAGGAGTCATTCATCTGTGGATTTTCATAAACTTCATAGTAAAGTAGAGTGTGGGATTTAGCAGCTGATCCTTGATTCTTCAATAAATCTAATTATTTTGTTCTTTCATACTTCAATAATTTTTGGTAATTTTCACAAATGTGATTAGGACTTTCTTTTCTATTAGTGTTTCTCTTGAATCAGATAAGTTTTAACTTATTTTTAGATTTGTGTTCATTAATCTTAACTCTGTATTCAAGATGTTTATGTTGTATTCCCCATAAATGTGTTCTTTTTAAACTATTTTCATGGATTTCAGTTTCATCTAATTTTCATGGCTCCTTGACTTTCTTCTGAGGAAACTTTTTCATTGAGTGTTTTTCTGTATAAATTCCAAAGTCAATCATGCTTATCATTCCCATTTCAATAGTTTGCCAATGCACATAGGCTAGGAGAGCATACAGTTCAGATTTCTGAGGACATACCTGTCTCACACTGAATGTAAATGAAACACATTGTGCTTTCTCCCTGAGATTCATAACATAGCTGAATCATGAAACAATATTTTACTTCCATGTGGATCCATAGGTTTTCTTGATTTCCTGAGATTCATTTGGCATTCTCTATGAATCATCCACTGATATGAATGTTAGATTTTGAATGTTTTTCATGTATATTATGCACAGTGTTTCCTTGCTCACAGGTATTGAATGTTTATAATCTTTTTTTTTCTAACTTTCATCCATAATTGTTGAACCAGTAAAAGGGGTGTGTAGTTTATTTCCTTTTCGTATTGGGAAATGAACTCAGGGCCTTGCACATGTTATGCAGGTGTTTGTGCTACTGAGCTATAACCTTGCACATCACAAAGATGCGATTTAGAAATGACTGTGAATTGTTTCTCATTCTCATTTTATGAGTGGTCTCACTTTGTAAGACATTACTGCATAGCCCAGGCTGGACATGGAACTCATAGCAATCCTGAAACTCATGATAATCCACTGCCATCAGACTCTCAAGTGCTGGGAGAATAGGCATATACTATCTCACTGGGATGAACTCTTCCTTTTGTATTTAGTGAGTAGTTACTTTGCTGTACCTCAATTTTCATTGCATTTCAAACATTTCATATATATTCTTTCCCATATTACCTTTTCTCACACCCTAATCAAATTTTTAATACAAAGAGATAATTTGGTATCCCTGAGCTATAGGTTTATAGTTACCCTTTCCCTATTTTTTTTTGTGTCTATAGAATGGTCAAATAAACCTTTCCTTTCATTAAATTTTAGTTATTCATTAACCTTTCATAGTCAAATAAATGTTTATCTAAACCAGGTTCAAGATTCTAAATGCTGATTAAATTTAAAGGATGAAGTCAATGTTATGAATCACTATATACAAAAAGAGAGATTTTATTGTTCTGTGATGATTTACAGACTCCTTCTTTGAGTTTTGATTTAAGGTCGGTGAAAAAGTACAGGGCAGGCAACCTTGCGGGATAGGCCATGCTACAGTTATGATTCCTTTGGCAACATGTTATAGGCTAGTATCAATGTTACTGAGTGATTATATTTGAATTCACTCATGTTTTGATGACCAATGCAGTTAATACTTGAAAGAATGAACCTCAGACTTTTTATGAGAGGAGCTGAGATATATCAGGTTATGTTTCTAACTTACAGCACATTTGTCATTATTTAGGAGACGCTGACGTTTGAGGATGTAGCTGTGAACTTCACCATAGCAGAGTGGGATTTGCTGACTCCATCCCAAAAGAAGCTCTACAGAGATGTGATGTGGGAGACATCTATGAATATTAATGCTATAGGTGAGGATAACATTTTTCTTTCTTATATAAAAAAGCATTAATTATTGCTCACTAATGTAGTTTAATAAAATTAATAGTTATAACATTTGTTAGTATTTTCTGACCTGCTTAAATTATATCATGAGTATTACTGGAATAAGTGACATTTTATATACAATGATAGTGAAGTTTTATTTTTATGTCTGTAATACAGGAGCATGGCATAGCAAGCAGAATAAAGAAGAGGACAAAAATTGCACAAGAAATCTAAGGTAATTTACACAAGCAAGAGAAAAGAAATATTCCTCAAGGATCAGTGTGTGAACATAAATATTACAACAAAGGAACCTGGAGAAATGAGACTATATTCCAAGTTATTTAACCTCACAAAAATATTTGAGAGATACATGTGGTTTAATTTTTTAAAAATTTTATTTAAAGAGAAAAAAAGCAAAACAGTAAAAAGGGTAGAAATAATACTTAATTTCAAAAAACACTAAGAAATTACTAGTTGAAAAATTATATATACTGTCATCTTAGAAATAGTTGTTCAAATTACAAAATTAAAGCATACAAAGTAGACATTCAAACAGTGAGACTGAAAACAGTTCTGCTCAATGTTCCAATAAAAACTTAGTTATATGGTTATCTATCTTACACACTTAAACATACATGCAGTTATATGCTATAGAGTACTTACTTGTCCTTTTTTTTTTTTTTTTTTTTTTGTCTTTTTCATTTTTCTCGGTACCAGGGATCGAACTCACGACCGCCTGCTTGCAAGGCAGGTGCTTATGCCGCTGAGCTAAATCCCCAGCCCCACTTGTCCTTTTTTACAATAGCAATTACACATTTTGAGTTTTATTACTTCTACAGTTCTTAATACTTTTTACACTAGAGACACAATGTGATTCTTATTTATTTCACTTAGGATAGTTTCCAGTTGGCTCCATTTACCTATGAGGGCCTCAAGAGCATCCTATTTTATAGCTGAGTAATATACCAATGTATAAAAATAGCACATCTTTTAATCCACTCTGCAGTTGATGGGCATTTTGGTTGTTTCCAAGATTTAACTATTACAAATTGTGCTGCTATGAACATGGGTGTGCATATATTACTGTGACATGACCTTTTCAGTTTTTCTGGGAAAATACATAGGAGGGGAATAGCTGGATTGAATGAAATTTCCAATCCTACTCTTCTGAGAAATCTTCATAGTGATTTCCATTGTGGCTACACCAGTCTTCACTCCCACCAACAGTAGAGAACTCTTCCTATTTCCCCACAGCCTTGCCAACATTTGTTTATCAGTTGATATCTTGATGAGAGCTAGTCTTTCCAGAGTGAGATAAAGTCTCATGCTGTTTTAGTTTGCATTTCTCAAATGACCAGTGATGGTGAACATTTCTTCATATATTTATTTGCCATTTGTATATCTTCATCTGAGAACTGTGTGTTCATCTCAGATACCCATTTTTGGAGGGGGGTCTTTGAATTTGGGGGGTTTGATGTTTTTCAATTCTTTATGTGTTCTGGATATAAGTCCTTTGTCTGAGGGGCTGCTGGTTAAATTTTTTTTCCCATTCTGTGGGTTTCTTATTCACTTTGTTGGTGATTTCTTTTGAAGTGAAAAAACTCTTTAATAGTATGAGATCCTAGTTGCTGATCCTTTGAAGTATTTCCCTGCAGTTTGCGTTTTGTTCATGAATTCTCTGCCTACCCCTATGACTCTAAGATTTCTACTTACCTTGTCTACCTACCTTCCTTCTTGTAGATTTAGTGTTTCTATTTAAATATTTAGATCTTTGATTCATTTAGATTTTAGTTTTGTGCATGGTAGTAGACATGGGTCTAATTTCAGCCTTTGGCATGTGGAGAACCAATTTTTCCAACACCATTTATTTTTTATTTTTTGGCACTGGGGATCAAACTCATGACCTTGTGCTTGCCAGGGCAGGCATTTGTGCTGCTGAGCTAAATCCCTGGCCACCAACACCATTTATGAAAGAGGCTATCCTTCTTCTAGTGAACATGTTTAGCCATTTTGTCAAATATCAGGTGGCTAAATGTCTTTGTAGTTGTGTTTGCATCTTCTAATCTGTTTCATTGATCCTCAGGTCTATTTCTTTGCCGGTACCATTGCTGATTTTATTACTGGGACCTTGTCGTATAGTTTCAAGTCAGGAATTGTGATGCCTCCTGCTTTGCCTTTGTTGCCCAGAATTGCTTTTCCTATTCTAGGTTCCTTCTGTTTCCAAGTGAATTTTAGGAGTGTTTTCTCTAGATCTGTAAGGTATGTTAATGGTATTTTGATTGGGATTTCATTAAATCTGTATAACAGTTTTGGGAGTTTGGCCATTTTCACAATGTTGGTTCTTCCCAACCAAGAGCCATTTTCTAATGTCCTCTTCAATCTCCTTTTTTAACATAGCATAATTTTCAGCATATAGGTCTTTTACATTCTTGTGTAGGTTGGTTCCTAGGTATATCGTTTTTTTTAGATGCTATTATGAAAGGCAGTATTTCCATAATTTCTCTCTCAGTGAGTTTTTGTTTATGTACAGGAATGCTATAGGTTTTCGAACATTGATTTTGTATCCAGCTATGCTGTTGAATTTATTATCTCTAGTGGTCTTTTAATGGAGGCTTTTGGGTCTTCTAGATAGAGTATCATGTCATCTACACATATTGATAATTTAACTTATTCTTTTCCCATCTTTCTTCCTTGTATTTTTCTCTCTTGTCTGATTGCTTTGGCTAGTATTTCCAGAACTATAGTGAATAGGAGTGGTGATATTGAACATCCGTATCTTATTCCTGATTTTAGAGTGAAAGCTTTCAATTTTATTCTATTTAGTATAATGTTGGCCGTTGGTTTGTCATAGATGGACATAATGAGATTGAGGTAGACATCATGTATTCTGAGTTTCTGAAGGGTTTTTATCATGAAGATGTGTTGGACTTTATCAGAAGTTTTTTCTGCGTCTATTGAGATGACCATGTGGTTTTTGTTTTTGGCTCTGTTGATGTGGTGTATTACCTTTATTGATTTGCACATGTTAATCCATCTCTGCATTCCTGGAATGAATGCCACTTGGTCACGATGTGTAATCTTTTCAGTGATTTGGTGCATTATATTTGCCAGTATTTTATTGAAAATTTTTGCACCAATGTTCATTGTTGAGATTGGCCTATAGTTCTCCTTTTTGTTTGGATTTTTCTCTGGTTTTGGTATCAGAGTAATACTTGCCTCCAGGCATGACTTAAGGACGATTGCTTCCTTTTCCAATTTCATTGAAGAGTTTAAGGACTATTGGCATCAAATCTTCTCTAAATTTCTTGTAGAATTCAGCCGTGAATCCATCAGGACCTGATCCTTTCTTTGGTAACTTTTAATTACATTTTCAATTTCAATATCTGATAACAGGTTATTCAAAATTGCTGTATCTTCTTGGTTGAGCTTTGGTAGTTCATATGTTTCTAGAAATCTATCCATTTCCTCTGTGTTTTCCACTCTATTGTGAGTAGAGATTTTCAAAGTAGGTATTCATGATCTTTTGAATTTCCATAGGATCTGTAGTAATTTCCCTCTTTTCAGTCATTATTGCATAAATTTAGGGTTTTTTTCTTTCTTTTTTTTGATAAGGTTAGCTAGAGATTTATTTTCTCAAAAACCCAGCTCTTTGATTCATTAATTCTTTGAATTTTTTAGTTTTGATTGCATTGATTTCTGCTCTAATCTTTACAATTTCCTCTATCCTGTGAGCTTTGGGTTTAACTTGCTCTTCTTTTTCTAGAAGCATTAGGTTGCTTATTTGTGCTCATTCTATTTTCTTGATATGATAATTTATTGCTATATGTTTCCTTCTTAAGACCAATTTCATTGCATCCCACAGATCACAGTATGTTGTTTCTGCATTTTCATTGAATTGTAGGTGTTGCTTTATTTATTTAATTTCATGTGTAGCCCACTGGTTGTTCAGAAGGTTATTGTTTAATTTCCATGGATTTATGCATGTTTTGCAATTTCTTTTGCCATTAATTTCCAACTCAGTGTGCTATGGTCAGATTTTATGCATGGAATAATTTCAATACCTTTCCATTTACTTAAAATTATTTTATGGGATAATATATGATCTATTTTGGAGAATGTCCCATGTGCAGCTGAAAAGAATATATATTCTGATGTGGTTAGATGGAACACTCTGTAAACATCTACTAAGTCCATTTGCTCACAGGTATAATTCAGTTATATTATTTATTTGCTGACTTTTTGTCTAGCTGATCTATCTCTGTGACAATAGGGTATTAAAGTCATGTGTTATAACTGTGTTTTTGTGTATTTGGTTTTTCATGTCGGTTAGTATCTGTCTTATATAGTTGGATGCTCCTGTATTTGGTTCATTTATATTTATAATTGTTAGTTCTTCCTTTTTAAGTTTTCCACTGATGAGTAAATAGTGATCTTCTTTATCTCTTTTATGATTGTAGGTTTGAAGTTCGCATTGTCTGCAAATAGACTAATTGCTCCTGCTTTTTTCTGGGTTCCTGTTGCATGGAATACTGTTTTCCATCCTTTAACTTTTAAACTATGAGTTTCCTTTTGGGTCAGATGTATTTCTTATATACATCATATTGTGGGATCCTGTTTCTTGATCCATTCTGTCAACCTATTTATTTTGACAGGTAAATTGAGGCCTTTTACATTTATGTATATAACTAATATGTCCTGGCTCGACTTTGCCATGTTATGTTCCAGTTGTTTGCTTTCTGCTTTTCCCTCTTGTTTAATTGCTTCTCCTACCTGGTGATTTCTTTCTGTTGTTGTTCTGGGGATTGTGATCATTTTTATCTCTATTTAGTATGTCTTTCAATATTCTTTTCTAGGATTGGTTTGGTGGACATGAATTTCTTCAGTTGTTCTTTGTCATGGAAATATCTTGTTTCTCCATTACATTTGAATGAAAGTTTTTCTGGGTACAACAGTCTGGGTTGAAAGTTTTTTTCTTTCAGGGCTTGAAAAACCTCACTCCAAGCTGATCTTGACTTGAGGGTTTGTGCTGAAAAGTCTGCCATGATTGTAATGAGCTTTCCTTAATAAGTGAGTTGTGTCTTTTCTCTAACAGATTTTAGTATTCTGTTTTTATGCTGCATGTCTGGGATCTTAATTATTGTATGTCTGGGTGTAGATTTATGTTAGTTGTGATTGTTTGGAGTTCTATATTTGTCACTTATGTGCATAGTAGATTTTCCCCATATTTGGGAAATTTTCTGCTCTTACTTCTGTGAATATTTTAGTTATGTCATTTGTATTGCCTCCATCATCTTAACTGATGTCTATTAGTAGTATATTGTTTGTATTGGCATCATCTTGAAGTTGCTGGATTGTCATTTCATGCTTTTTTGTTATTTTTAGAAGTTCTATCCTTTCATGATTGCTAACTGTGATCCTGTCCTCAAGATCTGAAATTCTATCCTCAGCTTCAGTTAAACAGTTTTGCCAGCTTTCAATACAATTTTTGTTTCTTGGATGTCTCTTTGAGTTTGTTTCATGAATTCTGCTTGTTTTCTATGTTCAAGGTTTCAATCAGTTTCCCATGCTCCTGTACTTTTTCATCTATTTCTTCTCTAGCTGCTTTGAGCAACTCCTTTATTAAGGTTGTTATTTCTGTTTTTACATGAGAGATTACTTCTAATTTGATTTCCTCTATTGCCTCATGGTGTCTCTTTTTACTTCACTTGCTATCTTTTCAGAGATTTCTGTTGTTTTACTTTTGAAGTCCTCTGTTTCAATGTTACCTGTACTTTCTTCTGATGGACTAGATGTTTGAGATTGCATTTTGCTTTTTCATTTTGCCATTTTCCCCTTTTGGGTTAATATTTGGTCCTTCAATTCCACTAGTGTCAACTGCTGGTAGTGTATATTTTGGTGTCCTACTGTAAGGTTGATGTTTGTCCAATTGCTGGGTCCCACAATAGGTGGGCCAACCACCTGAATTGCCCCTGCAAGGCCTGTTGTGTGAATCCTATGTTGTTCCTAGCCTGACAAGGCTAGAAGTACTGATGGAAATCAACCCCTAGTTCCTGCTGTTATGATGTCTTCAGACTGTTCAGAGTTCCCAGATCTCTTTGTTTATAGTGTTTGTCTCCGCTGGGACCCTACTGTGTCTCTGAGTATTCCATAGGCCCTCTTAATTTTCTGCAGGTGTGGAGCATAGTGTGCCATAAGACCCTGCCCAACCTACCTGTTATTCTTTGTGTAGAGGAAGGACTCACCCACCCACATGTCAAGCTTGCCTATGGCCTACTTCTGGAGAGGGCTTCACTATTGCTCCTGTTTAGCCACTGAAGGTGGCAAACTCTCCCTATTTTAGGGGCAAACTCACCTCACTGATGAAAGCCTGTTGAGTTCTTACTGCATCTCCCCTCAATATTACATGGTTAATCCACTGCAGTCCAAGGTTCTGGGAGGGAAGTGTGGGAGCCGAAGATCAACAGCAATACTAGGTCCAGGAGGTGGGGGTGGTCCCCAATGGCAGCAGTGGGACTGTAGTGGTATGCATCATGGGCTGCAATTCCTAGGTCCTGAGGTAGGTGGCCAGGGCTGTGGGGACGTGGGAGCAGCCTGGTTTTGGCCAGGCCCACCAATGCCACTGGCAGGAGTTCCTGGGTCCTGTGAGGTAGTCTTCCCAGACATTGGGGGTCATGGGAGGGGCCTCAGTCTAGTTTGGCTACATGTGTGCCACTGGTTGCAGTTCCCAGGCCCCACGAGGTGGTCTTCTGGGATAGCAGGAGGCATGAGAGGGTCCAGGGTCTAATCTGGCCCTGTGCATGCTGCTGGTTGGAGTTCCTGCATACTGTGGGGTCATCTGCTGGATGGTAGGAGTCACAGGAGGCGCCAGAGTCTAGCATGGCCCATGTGCCACTGGCTGAAAATTATTGGTTTGATTTTGTATTATCTGCCAACCCTGAAAAGTATTTGAATCTAGCAATCTGAAGTAGTACTGGTGCTATGCAACAAACAACAGTATCTGATATATCAGTCTAAAAATTTCCATCATGATCAGCATCATGGAAATGTATGAGGCTAAATTTAAGTTTTGTAATCAGATATATAGGAAATAAAAAATTGTGAATTTTGATAGCAACTGATGTTCAAAATATCCATTTATGTATATATGTGAATATGAGACATTCGAGCTAGAAAAGTTTTCACATAGAAACAATATTCAAAATGCAAATGAATGGTAGTATTACCATAATAAGTCCTTTGAAAATATCCTATAAAATATTAAGATGTTCATGTTTAAAATTTCTCCCACTCTGTTATTGAATACATAAAATGGAAACATAATATTCAGTATTCAGACTGAGTAAAATAATATGCTTTAAATTGTTTTAGGTGTATATCCATGAGTATATGCTTGCTTTATTGGTTTTGTTTGTTTTTGTTTTTACTTTTGAGCCATGATTTCATACTGTAATCCAGATTGACTTTGAACTTACTCTGTATCCCATACTGGCCTGGAACCCAGAGTGATCCTCCTGCTGATACTTCTGGACAGTTGAGACAATAGTATTATATCATTATGCTCAATGATTCTCTCAGTATATTATGAAATATGTTAACGTCATCAAATGATAGTGATCTATACAGTGTATTGCTCAAAGCAAGGTGTTAATGAGCATTCATAATATCTAATAGTGGAAACAACTCACACTATCTAAGCTCTGAAAAGAGCCCAGATGTGCATCACTGGGTGTCTGGATAAAGAAAATGTGGGGTCATCTCAGCACGGTGGTGCATTCTTTTAATCCCAGCACTCTTGGATGCTGAGTTGGCAGGATGACAACTTGAAATTCAGCCTAAGAAAATTGATAGTCAGTGAGAATCTCCTTCAAAATAACAAATAACAGATCAGCAAATGTAACTCTGCCTAAGACCTATGTTTAATTCTTTACACTGAAGACGTATGCCATATAAGGAACCTTGATATCATTTCCAAGAAAACAAGAGTTGTGCCTTAAGTGAAATAAAGCAGACACAGAAATGGAAATATCACAGGTTTTCTCTTAAATGGGAAACTAAAAGCATATTTGAGGAGTAAAAGTAAGGAGAGGTGATATGAGAGCAGAAATCCTAACTTTTTGTACATCAGAAAGATGATCAGGCTGGCTAGATAAAAGGGAGAGTGGAAAGGGTCATTTGTACAAATTATCTAAAATGATGTTATGTGTTAGAATCCTATACTAATTTAAAATTCCCAAATGAAATCTATCCTTTTTAGAATGAATAGTACTGTCAAAGATTTTCTTCAGGGCAATAAGTCAATTCACCATCAGAATTTCTTAGCAGGCATTGCACCAAATGTGTCATAGTAAATAACAATTGTTAATGTGGAGACCTTTTCATTGTGATTGATATTTTTCTTTGTATTTCTTTACAGATATGATGAAGACAATTATTCAAAAATTAAAAAGCAGCATTACAAATCTGATGAAGATGTAATGACCTGCAGTGATTTCCAGTCCTTTCAGAAGCATGACATTAGGAAGACTGGAGAGAAAGCCTATCTATATGGGCAATGTGAGGAGGACAGCTCTGATCTTAGTGAACAAACTCACCCTGGGCAGAAAACCTTTGTACATAAGAAAAATGTGAAAGCCTGCACAACATCTAATGGTGTTCAAATCCGTAAGAGTTATCACAGTTTGGTGAGCTTATATGTACACAAACACTATGAGAATAGTTCTATTTCTTCATACCATATTGAAAAAGATGTTAGAAAGTATGCTGGAGAGAAATACCATGTGAGTGACAAATGTGTAAAAGCATTAGCCCTTAGTAATTCATTTAAAGAACATAAAACAATTCGTACTGGAAAACAACCATATGTACATAAGCCATGTGAGAAAGTATTCAGTACACGTAGCTGTCAAAGACATAAAAGAACAAACACTGGGGAGAAACCCTATGTATGCAACAGATGTGGGAAATCATTTGCTACAGCCTCATATTGTAAAGTGCATGAAAGAATTCACACTGGGGAAAAACCATATGCATGTAAGCAATGTGGGAAAGCATTCAGCAGACAAGATCATTGTCAAAATCATGAAAAAGCTCACACTGGGGAGAAACCCTATATGTGTAACAAATGTAAGAAATCATTCACTACAGCTGAATATTGTAAAATACATGAAAGACTTCACACTGGGGTGAAAACCTATGTATGTGAGCAATGTGGGAAAGCATTCGGTACCAGCAGTAAATATCAAAGACATAAAAGAACTCACACTGGGGAAAAACCCTATACATGTAACAAATGTGAGAAATCATTCACTACAGCCGAATATTGTAAAATACATGAAAGACTTCACACTGGGGTGAAAACCTATGTATGTGAGCAATGTGAGAAAGCATTCGGTACCAGCAGTAAATATCAAAGACATAAAAGAACTCACACTGGGGAAAAACCCTATACATGTAACAAATGTGAGAAATCATTCACTACAGCTGAATATTGTAAAATACACGAAAGACTTCACACTGGGGTGAAAACCTATGTATGTAAGCAATGTGGAAAAGCATTCAGATACATTGGTGGCTTCAATAGACATCAAAGAATTCACACTGAGTCATGAAAGAACTCTCCCTGGGCAGAAACATGGATATAAACAGTGTGGCAAAGCATTCAGTATGCGTAAGTGTTGAAAATGTCTAAGCAATGTGAGATGTCTTTCAGCTATAATGGTAGCTTTTGTGTATATAAAAAGTTACTGCAGAGAGAAACTGCGAAATGTATAAATGGATTTGTTTATAAATTCTCATTTTATAGAAGATCCCACATTGGGGAGAAACCTTATGAGCGTAAGCAATGTAGGAAAATTTTCCACCACTAGAGATGGTCACAACATGAAAGAACTCATTCTAGTAATTCTGTGCATTTGAACAATGGTGAGTAGCATTTGGTGCACAAAAAAATGCCATGAAACAGGAATTAATGCACACAAGGGAGAAATTCTATGTATATAGGCAGTCTGGAAAGAATTTTCTGTAATGCTTTCATTTTGCAAACAAAATTCCCCTCTGGGGGGTAATTACATATAAAAAATATTGGGTAAAAATTCAGCTGTGACAGAGATGCTAACCTGAGTGATGTCATATTGTGGCCTATACCTCTGTATGCAATGTGAGAAAGCACTCAGAATTCATGGTTGTCAAACGTGAAAGCAATCACAATGAAGTCAAATTATATGTAAGTGACTTTTAAAAATACTTCAGAAATTACTCATGAAGAGATCTTTTAAAATAAAGTTATTAATGTCAATCTTTGTTCATAGATTTTCTTGAAAACACTCTCAAAGATAGGTATCCTTAACATTTTCATTTCTTTTTTAGTAAATCACACATAATAATTGTCTGTAGTCTTAACAATAAACATTAACAATTTTAAAGGAAAATTTATGCTGGAACTTTGCCCCTATATTTTAGATCCCCCAGTGTCTTATTTTGATGGATGACACCCATTTACTGCATGATCATTTTTTCCCACCAGGAATCTGTAGTTCATGCATCACTTTATCAAGAAGTATTATATTCATGGTATATATCTTTAGGCATACTTATGGTAAGATAAGCCATTACAAAAGCAGACTGTCACTGTCAGAAACGTGAATGAACTCACACCGGGCAGAAACTTTATATATGAAATAAATATGAAAAACAATACACAGGTTATAAAATACACAGTAGAACTCACATGGGAGAAACCCTATGTATGCAAACAATGTGGAAAATCATTTACTCAAAATTGGAACCTTCTTGGACATAAAATAACTCCCACTATGAGAAACCACATGTGTGAGAAATATGGAAGAGGATCTACTGATCAGTCAACATTTCCTAGACATACGATATCCCACACAGGGAAAAACCTATGTAAGCAATGTGGGAATCAGTCAAACATAGCTTGCAAATACATCAAAGAATTCATAGGCAGAAACCCTATGCATGCAAGCAATTTGGGAAAGCATTCAGTTCACATGTTCACTGTCAAACACATGAAAGAATCCACAATGGGGAGAAATCATGTGTACCAGTAATTGTAAAGATGTGAAAGAATTCACACTGGGAAGTAACCCTATGCATTTGAACAATGGGAGAGGGCTGGAGATTTAGCTCAGCAGCATATGTGCCTGCTTGGTAAGTGCGAGGTCATGAGTTTGATCCTTGATACAAAACAACAACAACAATAATGGGGGAAATCATTCAGTGTACCAAAGTGCCATCAAATAAGAAAATAATGCACATAAGGGAGAAACTCTGAGTATGTGGAAATATGGAAAGGGTTTGCTGCAAGATTTTCATTTTATAAATATTAAATTTCTCACACACTGGGGAGTAACTGTGTATATAGAATGTATTGAGAAAAGAGTCTGTTGACAGAGATAGCTTCCAAAATGATGTCACAGTGTGGCCAAAATCTATGTATGCAATGTGAGAAAGCACTCTATGGTCAAATATGTGGAAGTCATCACTGTGAAGAGAAATTGAGCATAGATAAGCAATTATTTTGAAAATGCTTTGCAATTTAGTCATGTAGTCAAGACCCATTTAAATACTGTAAAAATTGATGTCAATATGTATTCATAGATTTTCCAGAAATCACACTCAAAGGTGGAGATATCCAAAAGTGTAATCATTTTGTTTTACAGCACATCATACATAAATATCTGATCAATTTGTCTGCAGTCTTACTATTAAAAATGCCTTTTAAAGAAAATTCAAGCATTCTGAAGCATTTCCCCACCATTTTGATCCTACAATAAGCAGTTTTCATAGATGACACCTATTTTTCTCATAGCCATCACTTTCCACTTGGATCTATAGCTCAGTTATTACTTTGCCTAGAAGGATCCACAAAAACACATTCAGAAGTGTCCTTTACCAGGTTCCATGTCATGTATCTATGTAGTTATGCATGTTTATGATAAGATAAACAATGACAAAAGCAAAAGCAAATTTAAAATAAATATATATATATAATTGCATTAGTATATATTTCTAGTATATAATTTATGTGTTTATCTTTGGAAGGCATCAATGTGTGTAATAGATCTGAGCTATTTATTCTTGCCTTAGCATCCCCTGTTTATATTTTTTCTCTATTTCTTGGTCACCATTTTTGAAAGTTATATGCCCCTATTGCATATACATTATGCAAGTACATTATGTAATTTTTTTATTCAAGAAAAATGTAAACACCATTTCTCTTATATTAAGTAAGTCATATATAAATAGCAGCATCCTGAATATGCAAGTGAATCAGGATTTTGCACAAGTTCTAGGGTTCAAGGGAAAATGCAAGGAGTATGTTTCCCAGAAAAGGAATAGTGAGTGATGGCAATGATGTCATATTGTGACACCAGAAATATAGAACCACCAGTGCACAATGCAAGCATGTGAAAATCACAAGCAAGTGAATTAGATGCATGAGAATTATAACATTAGATTTACCTACCAAAAAATTTCATATAGGGATGCAGGGGTGGTAATACACTACTTTTCCCCTGTCTGTCCAATCTTCGGGGTTTGGCACTGCTAAACTATCATAGTCTCCTTTTAGGCATTTCAAGGTAGCATTTCAGCAGCATATTATGATATGAAAAAAATCAGAAATGAAAGTTGACAAATTCTAAATCATGTTCCATTCTCATTAGCATAATTAAATCTAATGCCACTTGGATCCATCATGTATCTCAGTTTCTTTCATCAGAATGATATCACGTGATGTCACAACCTGACAAGCAGGTTAAGTGCAAGGGAGGATGAGATATGAATAGAAAAACAACATATTCACAGGATGCTGATTATACCATGATTATTATGTCAATTTCAGTATTTAGTATCATGGTAATTATTTATCCATATGTATTTTTCAATACATTCCAAGAGCCGAAGTGTATATAAATGTTACGTGTGTGCATGTTTCTATGTGTGTAATATATTGTTATCCAATACTGGAAACACATATTGAAGCAGTTAGCATTTCTTCACACTCAGTCCTTAGGTAGAATATTGCTGACAAATTACTACAATGTAGTTCCTACTTATATTCCCTTATTTTAATGTTTTATAAATTTTTAAAAATTAAAGTGGTTCAGACATAGGTAAGGTGGTGTTTTTGTGTGATTTAAGCTAAGAGGATTTCTACTTTGAAATTTGAACCCAGGCTTGACAACTTGGAAACATAGTGGAAATGTATTTGCCAATAAAGTATAGTGCTGGGGACATAGCTCAGGATAAATCTCCTCGTTTCCAAACTCAGTCCTGAAAAGTTAAAATAGGCCTTGTTTCCTGGTAAGGCAGTAAAACTTTCTGCCTCATCTCACTCTCTGAACAGACCTGACCTGTTCTCACCATCCCCCTCTGAGGATTGACGCCATTTCCAGAGAACATTGTCTGAAATCACCTGAATACAATTTCCTTCCAATTTACTGGATGAAGGAGGAAACTTGCAAAAAATACAGTTAGTCAATCCCTGCTCTGTAAAGACAAGCACAACCTCATTTAAAATGCAGTAATATCCTCATGGACCATTTCAGTAGCCCATATGCAATCCAGGAATGGCACCTGTCACTGTACTCATCAGTCCAGATTTTGGATCACTTTCCTTGTCTCTTCATTCTCAGATATTTGGTTTTTCATCACCAGCTCCTGGGAGATGCAGGAAGGCTGTATGTGTTATGCATTGGAGGAAGGCATACGGAGATCAGGAAAATCCATTATGTACTGAATTGAAACAATGGAATTTTGGCAAGAGAGAATCTGGTCTTTTCTATTGAGACATGTGTGTGTGTGGTGGGGGAGGGTATTATCTAAATCTAATGGAAAAGGTTTCTTTTTCCCTGGCCTGTTTTTCCAGAATAAAAATAACTGGGGTTCATAATCTTTGCTACGTAAATAGCTAAATGTCAATATTAAGATAATTAGGAGTCTTTCCACATACATAGAACCTCAAAATGATTTTATAAGTCCATGTAAATTACACAGAATAGTGGCTTTCATTTTGGTATACTAAAACCTGCATATAATATACATGGGTTTTTATGGAAGTTACGTTATTACAGTTACTATTATTATTAAGTTTATCATTACAATTGAGAAATACTTAATGTGCATATTCATATAGATAAATTATACCTCTACATGATATACTTGATTCCTCTTTTTGGCATTCTTTGTTGCTCCCTAAAATCTCTTTCCTTTCTTATTTTTGAAGCTTTTTTTTCTTCTTTTCTCATTTTTCTCTTCCTTCTTTTCTCTCCCTGCCTAGTTTCTTTTTGTTTTCAAACAACTGCTTATTATTTCATTATATCTATTTTGCATTTGCTTTCTATTCACAGTTTTGAATATTCACATCAATGAGACAATGTGATATTTATACAAATTTGTGCAGTTTATTTCATTGAAGATAATTGTGAAAGTCCATCCTATTAGTTATAAATGTCTGAAGTTTATCCTTAATGGCTGACAGTTACACCATTGTACAAAAATCATGCCTTTGTATTCATCAGTTGGTGAGTTTCTAAGACTTAGGCATCACAAAATGTGGCCTTATGAGCATGGGTACACTTATGTCATTGTGGGAAGGTACATTTAATACTTTTGGGAACATACTAAGGAGAAGAGTTGTTCGATCACATGGACCCTGTGGTACTAGTTTTTTTTTTTAAAGAAATTTATGTATTGATTTCCAAAGGGGTGTTTGTTTCTACTTTCATTAACAGTGAAGAAGGGTTTCTTTTATTCTTCACATTCACATTAGCAATTTTTATTGGTTGTTTTGGTGACAGTAGCCATTCTGTAGTGAGATGGAATCTCAGAGTTGTTTTAATTTGCATATCTCAAAAGACCAATACATTGAACTTTTCCCCATATATTTATTCACCATTTTTACTTCTTCATCTGAGAAGAACGTATTTATCTCAGATGCCCATTTGTGAATTCAGTCTTTAAATTTGGAGGCTCTGATTTTCTCCAATTCTATATATGTTCCTGATATTAGTCCTTTGTCTGAGAATAGACATCCTAAAATATTTTCTCACTCGGTAGGTTTTGTTTTCACCCTGTTAGTAATTTATTTTGTTGAATAAAAGATTTGTAATAAGATTAGGTCCTAAATGTTGATTTTTTTTGTGATTTTTCTCTATGACCTTGGTTTTGCTCATAAAGGCTTTGCCTACACTAGGTCCTCAGCTGTTCTGCCTATCTGCCCTTGGAACACTTGGAAGGCAAGCAGGTTCACTGAGTCCTTTCACAGAAAAA